CTTAATCAAAAACTGAAAGCGATGGGTTACCTTAGCGGTATCATTTGGTGGCAAAAAGGCTTTTGCCACTCCTTTCCATGTTTCCAGGTCAAAGGAGGAAAACTGCACATTGATTACAATGAGGGTTCCCCTCTGCTCCCACTGCTTACCACAATGGAGTTATCTTTCAATGACTGTTCATGCAGACATTGGGCTGTCAGGAGGGGTCCTCATCTCTTGGTCACTCTCCTCATCCTTCTGTTTAACTCTCACTGGAGGTTTATAATGTTCTGGCGATTCCTCAGGGATCCTCATTTTCTCTAATTTTGCACACCTTTGTCCTATACTGCACACAGAGCAATATCACAGAGCTGGTCAAACCCTTCTCTTTCACGTTCCTTTCCCAGGGTTAATATGGCAGGGTCCGGGGGAGGTCCCAGCTCACACTCCTGTTGCCATTTGGGGTGGTTTTTAAGGGTAAGGATTTTTAAGGGTAAACATATTTGCAGACTCCATTTTATCCCATTTATCTTCCCTTCTCAGGAACATTAATTGCAACAGGGTGTTATAATTCAGAGTGCCATTAACGGGCCATTTCTCTCTCTAATTCTCTCTTTCTGCTCTCTAATTTATACAGGGACACTGATTACAATATTTAATGAGCATCTTTTTGTACCAGAATGCATCCCAAAGGGGTTTTAGCACACTGAAAACACTGAATGTGCCTAAGGTTTCCTCAGCTGTAGAGACCACTCCTTACAGTTTGTGCACAAAAAAAAAAGCCTGACAAGTCCAAAGTCCCCAGCTGCTGACAATTGAAACACTTAACTAACCTATTTCAGTTTCACCTCCCCCCAAGTCTTCCAGTGCTAACACTGGGATATTTGGCTTCCTAGATCTCTGTGGGGGGTGTTCTCATGCCAGCACCGATCTGTCTCAGCAGATCACAAGCTCTAACATCTCAAACTCGCTTTTTTTTTCCCCCTTAACCCTTTCTGGTCCTGTTACTTCATTTATGTTCCTGGTTTCTTCCCCCGTGTTCCCTCTGGTTCACCAGCAACATCTTTCCAGTGAGCCAAAATACAACCCAGAGGATCTTTTTGGTATCTCTTTAGACATCCCTTGTCCTGTAATAACTTTTAATATTCCAGCCAACCTTAAATATTGGACAAGAGAGAAGTGCTGTAGGAATGGGTTCAATTCATTTTCCCCTAGGAAATTTAAAACTAGAAGTAATTTCATAATTTAAATTTCCAAATCTAAAAAGGTTCTATTAGTTGTTTCCCTCAGAAATAGTTAAGAAGTCTAACAGAAGAATGAATCAATTCGGAACTTATTGAATGCTTGCAAAATATAACAGGTACAAGGAAAGGAAGTTATCTGCATTCTGGAACAATAAATTTTGGGTCAGCCTATGCATCCTAAGAATGGAGATGGGTTCTAACAGTGTTTCTCATCACTAATTCCAAGGACAAACACATCAGTTACCTAATTTTGTGCAGGGCAAGCAACATTCAGATCTAAGATGAAACAAGAATGCAGAACAGTAAATGGAAAAAAACAAACTGATGAGTGCATTGCCAGGGCTCTTGCGTCAGCGTTCAGATGATGTCAAGTCAGAATTCAGAACCAAACTCCTGTAGGTGGCGTTAAGCTCGATTTGTTAGTCGAGAAAGCTGACATAGCAGAGCATTGCTCAGCAGTTCCTGTAGCAGAAATGCAGCTCCTGCTTACAAAAGATAACACAGTAAGGGGAGCTCAAATGCAATGTTCTTTATAGGTAAAAACTAAGCTTATTACTTCTGCGATGCAATCAGTTCTTCCTGGACAGCTTCATCTAAATACTACTGAATAAAACACTTCTCATCAATAAAACTCACTGCATGTTAATCATCTAGAACATGTCATGCTTACCTAAAGATGTCAGTCAAAGAACAGGCAACCTCTGTTACTCAGTTACCATCTACAGCAAAAAGGAACCTTCAGTAAAACCTACAGTCAGAAGCTGAGCATATTGTGATGAAAATACAATATAGTCTGGACTTTAGCAGAGTTCTGACTTCAAGCAACAAGCACAGCCAAAGACTTCTCTCCACCACTACATCTGCCCCATCTTTTCAAGCACTGATTCATTACCTGTGGTGCAGCTGGTATTGAAAAGTTCTGTTCTCATCAGCTTTACTTAAATGAACTGCATTATACTTAAAAAAAAAAAAAATAAAATAATAAAATAATAAAATAAAATAAAATAAAATGAAATCAGCCACATAACTGCAACAGGCAACATCCCCTCAGTTTCATGCAATACAAGCTCTCAAACTATGCAACACATCAAAAGAGGAAAACAGATCAACAGCGAGAGAGGATCATTGCAATATGTGTTTTAACTGTGGATAGTAATGTAGTCAAGACACTTAGAAAGTGGGGATTTAGATATCCACCTCTTATTCAAATTTCACTGAACTCAACACTGAAATAATTCAATTTCAATAAACTGACATTTATTTTTCAAAATCAAGCCCTACACCCCTGAACAGTTCAGGACATGGATTTTACGAAATTGGTAACAGTGACACCAGTATCAACTTTGTATCTACGCAGGCCTTTGTATCTACACTCTCCTAGAACAGTGCAGATACATTAACCAAATTCCGACCTAGTAATACCATGGGATAGACTGCCCTCAGGAGGCTGAAATGGGATATCTTCATGGGATGTCACACGTGGACAACAATACTAGGCAAAAACTGTTCCTCCCTACATCTCCTATTTACAAGCTGCAGTAGTTAAAAAAAAACCAAAAAAAAAAAAAAAAACCACCATCACCAACATTACATGTCCTGTTAGAAGCTTTTGCTGATGATAATCCACTGCAGTATGTGCCTATAAATCAGGAAAATCCAGACACAGACAGATGCAAACACATTTCTGAAGAGAAGTGGAAATAAGAATTCACTGATTGAGAAAAGCAAAACAAAGCAAAACAAAGCAAAAAACCACAACTAGTCCATTATCTTCCCTAAAGCAGAGAAGTAATTAACATGCTAGGCCTGCAATGCCCTCCAGAGTTCAACTAAAACAGAGAACATGCAAATCACATACAAAACGTAAACTTAATCGAATGTAAAGGCAATAGAAGAGCAGTTTTATAAAGGAATAAATACTGCAGGACAGTATTATATCTATCCTTTCTGAAACAGTAACCTAGCTGAAAGGAAAATCACAGGGCAGGAATTATGGGTGAGTCAGAAAGCAGGTTGCATTTAAAGAGGAACTGCATGGCAACTTAAATGACAGCTACAAAAGCAGCCACCCTCAAAACATGTCTCAGAGGTCTCTTGAGAAATTCTGGGAGGTGGTGACAGGCCATGCAGGCATCAGTGACACAAAGGTGCCACTGGGGCAGAAGAACAGAGCTGGAACAAAACATAAGTTGAACTCGAGCCCTGGATAGCAGCCTGCTTTAAAGCACTCCCAAAATCAGATGCTGAGGCGAAGTTTCAATACATGCCTGAATAAAGAAATTTGGAGGAATACTGCAGAAACTGTTGGAATAGTGGGAATTTCTATAAGAGTTCATTCTAAACTAACAAGGAAGCAGAATACTGGTACTTAACTAAAGTAATTAATGGGGTTAATTTTGGTGGTAGGTGGACAGATGATGTTAGAAGTCTTTTCCAACCTTAATGATTCCATGAAAAGATTATAAAGAGTTTTAAGAAATATAGCAGGTGAAAAAATACCACATGAATCAGAGTATAAATCATTCAATTCCACTAGGAATGGAATCAGAGAAACTTTGTATTACTAGTAAGAGAGTAGGCTGAAGTTTTCCAATTCAAATGCAAAATCATGCTAAGTCAGTCAAGCACACTGTCCTATTTAAGAACTGCTCACACGAAGGAGACACCAAAATATTTTTTATGCAATTTGGCATAAATGCTAGATGCCCAAAATGGAAAATCTGAATGTCTGTTCTACACATTCAATAGAGAGCTCTACAGGGACATCACCACATACCTCATCTGTTACCTACCCTACATGCTCACTAGTTCCACTGTCTGAAACAGCACACCAGGCCAGACAGAAACTTGGCCTGACAAATAACAAGTACTGCTTTTCAGGCTAGTCGTACACAGTAAACTGTGAAATGAATTCTTGTTTTCATATTGTCTTCAGTTCTGAATTCCAGATTGGAAGAGTAAAAATGCATTTTAAAAAGGCAAGCAACACTTCAGTCAGGTCCTATATCGTATTTGGGATGTTTTTAGAAAAAATGTGAAAAATGAAGGGCAAGTATGGGCAGCAGTCAAGTTACCAACATATGACTGATGGCTTGACTAGTAAAAATGGCAGTACCAGCTGCCCTTCACCTTCAGTGCTGTCTGAAGAAATTCAACTATTCTCTGGCCAGTTCCTCCTATCAAAGAGAAACATAATTAGCAGTTAGATTTTTGGAGCAGACACATAGGAAACACAGCTTTTCACAGCAGCACCACCTCTCATCAGAGGTATCAGTAAGATAAGGCCTCCAAGAAGGTCAACGTTTACTGATATTTTGCATTCCAAAAGCAACACAAACAATTGTAAAACTCCCTGAAAACACAACCATTCCTTCTGTTATTTCCTAGTACGAATACCTGTGAGAAGCTTGAAAATGCGCTCTCTTCTGGCACAAAGACAAAACTTCCCAGCCACACAAATGAAGAAAATCTCAGACTTTAAAGACTCAAAGTTATCATCAGTGAGATCTCTGCTTTCTGTACTTCAGTTTGTGCCAAGATGGGAAGAAATTTCAAAAGCTGAATCAACATCTGGATCACGATGCAAAGAACATTGGAGCTAAGAGAAAATCCTAAACCACATTTGCAGTTTTCTTCAGAGAAGATAAAAACATCAAATACCAAAAATTACTTGATCTCAACAGAAAAGCCTGAGGTCAACCTCTTGGTAATTTTTCAGTAAGAGAGCAACGTCCAAGATCATTTACAGTTGAATAATTACCTTGCTTCAAAAGCTGCTTCGAGTAAAATAAATGGCTACTTTATTGACTATATATACATGTTAAAGAGTGTCAACATAACACAGTTGGACCGAGCAGAGGAAGACACACAGCACCACTTTGCACTTCAAAAGGAATACTTGTCTTCTCAGCATGCACTGAGCCTGTGAAAAGACTTCCATGCAGCAAGGCCTGCAACCATACCATTCACCAGTGACCAGTGTCTGTGCAGCTGGAACTCAGAAAATTACTAAATTAGCAACTCTACTGACCTTTAATGGTCCTTTAATCTAATTAAGTGCTACTGAATTAATTAATCACTGTACATACATTTAAGGATGGAACTGCATAGTTTTTTTCCCATAAAAATATATGGCATATAATTACACCTTGTAAAGGCAATTCAGGAACTCTGGAGACCAAGAAGCTTCTGCCTTTGGAGTTCCTGCTACAAACAAAAAAACAAAGGAAACTCTTTGCCACTTTGTAGGGACTGACTGATAAGAATCAAAAAACCATGTGGTTCACAGTCTTCAACATACATGAAGAACTGCAATCGTAACTGGCAGCAAATAAACATTTTATTCACCTTTGTGTAAGACAATAATTCAGATTAAAATCTCTACTCCGTTTCCAAACTGGAAAACGTGTCTTGATAAAACCAGTGCTTTAAAAATGCATCAGGAAGTTATTTATAACTATCACCATACCAAAGGCAGACCTTTTTAGCATTGTTGCATATGCAAACTTCATACAACCAAATGGACTCTTTCAGGAAGCTAAGCATACCTGTCGGACTTTACTGCAACAAATTAGTTATCTGATTAAAGAATATCAAGTCAATTGCATACATGAATCTTAGACTAATTTCCCCCTCCTTAATTAGCATGTGTATGTTACCCACTTGACATTTAAGCAGGTATTTATTCAAGGTAATATCTAAATCAAAAGCTGCAAGCCGCCATCCACAATTAGAGTACTGCCTGTAACATAAGGGGACTCCAGGAGAAATAAAACAGCTTGTGCAACTTCATGAGGGTCTCCAAATCTTCCAAGGGGAATTGCTTTCTTCAGCTTGTCTTCTTCCAAATGAGCAGTCATCTCTGTGTGAATAAAACCTAAGATAGGAAGAACATGAAGAGTAACCTAATTTCCAATTAAATTTTCCCAGTGGAGTTTCCCCTGAAACCTCCAACATGACCGTCCCCAGCAAGCATTCTCTGAAGTCTTAGAAGTCAGCCTGCATCACGTTGTAGCCAAGAACAAATTTTTTCCCTACCCAACAACATAGTTCTGGAAGCACTGACATAACGAGATCTGTGTTAAAAAAAAAAGTAACTTTTATGCACTCAAAAAACTTGTTGTGACTTTTCTGAAAGACAACAAGTCAACGTGCCATCAAAACATACACAATTAAAAAAAGACATGGGGGTGAGATCCCTAACAAGAAACACCTACTGTGCCAAGTGCTTCCATTGAATTCCAGAGCTTATTCCAGCACTTTGAGAATTTTTATTATAACTCTCCTGTTATAACTCTCAGAGGGATATTTCTCTACAGTTTTGAAGGACAACACTTCACAACTTGAATTTTCTGAGATTTAATTTTCCCACTGTTGCATTTCCCTTCACAAAAGCTGCAGTTTCACAAAGAAGATCTACTGTCCTTCTGCCATTAAGAAGATGTCTCAGCTTCGCTTTCTGCTGTATAAATCTCCCCTGTCAGCTGTTCAACTCACTAACCAAGGCAAGATATTTTTCCTGCCTGGTTCAGGAGCTGAACTGGGGAAGTCTGAAAGACACAGCAGCACAAGGCGAGCAGCAGAGTACACACATAACTCAGAGCACAGAATGTCAGACAAGACACACGAGGTTTTTTTCTTAAGGGTGGTGGTTTGCCTGGAACAGACTGTCCTGTGAAACCATCCTCATAAACTTTCTTTCCAGACCATCTCTGTTTACTAAAAGGAAAGAAAGGGATGTTTTCAAGGCAGCTTCTTATGCTCTTTAATGTTCCTCTAATAACAAATAAACATTCTTTAGCAGCATTCTTTAGCATTCTTTACACAAAGGTAGCTATCTGTATATAGCTATTTCTAATTCTTCCATCTGTAAGGATGGCAGATTTTGAAGGATGAACAAAGAAAAAAAACCATTTTTTACATAAATGTGGATAGAAGAACAGGTAGACACATGCTCCTGAGTTTCTCAGCGTTCCCTTGGAAAAACGACAGTGTTTTGTAAAGGAATATATAGTATGTTAAACCAGGGAAAAAATAAAACAGAAAAAAAGCCTCGCTTACTTACAAAGGTTGAAGAAAAAAAATAGTAATTTGTCTTAAGTACTTTCAGAGTACATCAAATATCTAGCAGGCTTGAAGACCACTCACTTATTGCAGTGGAGATATAGGAACTTCCCAAAAACTAACCTGGAGCAACCACGTTGACTCGAATCTGCTTTCTTGCTACTTCTTTAGCAAGAGAACGTGAAAATCCAACTATTCCTGCTTTGCTAGCACTGTATATGCTTTGACCAGAGTTGCCTTTAAGTCCTACAACACTTCCTACAATGAAACAACATTGGAAGAGGTTAGAATCTAATAGCTTTGTTATTTCAGCTTTAAATTTTTAATAGAAGATGAGATTAAAGGAAAAGGAGTTAAAAGTATATTACTCAATGCACATTACTGTCTATTGCAATAAGCAGATCCCTCGATTATCTGTGATTTTTATGATAAGTGCATATCTATGTGGAGGAACAGGGATCAGGAAAGTAAAATGGAAAAATACCATTGGAAAAAAAAATAGGAACTACCACACCAATTTAGTTCTTATAACCAGAAGTTGGTAGATTTAGCAACTGAAAGTCCCCTGATAAGGAATGGTAACATTGGTTTGTTTGTTTGTTTCAGAAATATTTAATCTCTTAGGTGTTTATTATTGAAACAAGCTGTCAAGCAACATTCAGAAGTTGCTGAAATTCGTTTAAGGATGAGGACTCATAAAGAAATGCTACACACAGGAAGAAATACAAAGAAAACAGGCAATTGCAAAAAGCAACATTTCAACATTGCACATGCCAGACCATTCCAGAAAAGTACTTTCCATATGATTCAATGGGATGAGACGAGCAATTTACCTATATTAACAATAGCACCTCCTTGATGATGAATCATACTTTTTACAGCAGCTTTACATGTCAGCATTGTTCCCAAAAGGTTTGTGTGAATCTGGGATACCATATCTTCAGTCTTGGTTCTCAGTAACAAGCCATCCCTGACAAACAGACCAAAAGCCACACGTGAGCTCACTGTACAACCTCAATGATCACATTTACTCATAGTTAAACACGATCAATGAGCAGAATACCACACTAACTAATAACTTACCTGTTGATCCCAGCTGCATTAACCAAGTAGTTTATAGGACCTAAATTCCTCTGTATCTCTTCAAAAGCGCGTTGGACTTGTTGTTCTCTGGATATATCACAGCTAAGTGCCAAATGGCCAGCTGCATTGAAATAAAGGCACGTGATGATAACAGTAGAAAGAAGTTTGCAATTCATAAATCTTAAAAATTTATAGACTCAACTGAAAAAAAAAGAGATGTTGAACTAGTTGTAACCTGAGGAACCCATTTCATCTGCAGAGAATTAAATCAGCACAATTTTCAAGAACTGTATTAATTCGTTACATGACAAGTCTCATCATACTTCGGGCCTTTTGAAGTCAGAACTTCAGCATGATCTGACTGGTCTCTGTTTTAGCTTGCTCAGGAGCCACGGATGACTCAATTCCCCCCAACTCCCTGCTGCAACCTTGAACAACTCCTTGAATCTATTCTACCTGCACGATCTGAATTGCAACATATTCACTATTCCCAAAGAGTACTGTGGAAACAAAGGTGTAAGGAAATGACTTCCCCTCTGCTCCCAGTTTCCTCATCTATTTAAACAATACAGTTCATTTAATGACTTACAACTTTCACAAGTTACCTATGCATTTGGCAGTGAAGAAATCATTGCAAGCCAGCAGTATACATACCACCAAGATCGCATGCAGTATTTTGGGCTACTTCAAGATTTCTAGCAATAATTGCCAGGTGGCATCCTTTCTGTGCCAATAATTCTGCTACAGCTTTTCCTATTCCTCGGGATCCTCCAAAAATGGCACAAACCTTGCTCATCCTAAAAAAATAATCCACAAATTGCAAACAAAGCGTGAGTTTCAGGCCCAACATTGCAGAGAACAACAACTGTTCTTATCAATATCATGATCCTTATTGATTGCAGCATTTTGTAACACAGAATTATAAAAGTCGTGATTTTGTTTTAATTTTATTCATGGAAAAATAAATAGCTGAAGTAAAGTAGACACCACTTTAATTATATCTGAAAAAATAATTATGCATGTAGTCTAGAATTTGAGGAAATACATGATTTACATATCTAAAAACCATAAGGTATCACTCAGCTGTTTATTCAAAGCCAGCACAGTGGATGTAATTATACTGTTTCTGTAGTATTCTAGCACTAAATTCAGCCTCGAGGTCTCTCTCCATGCTATGTATCTGTGCTGGACACCCAAACTGCAAACACTTCTGGAGCATGATTTGATAACACTATATTTACAGCAGGTTAAAACTAAGTTCCATCACACAATACTATGTTTTGCCACTAGTCTTAGCGTTTGTTTGTTTGATTTTCTACATTTGAAGGTAGAAAATGCTTTTTGAAATCTCAAATGACTCAGAAATAGCTGGCTTAGATGTTTAGGCAGGACTGTAAAAACATGCTCCTGTGGAATGAGATTTTAATTTGCGATCTCTACAAATCAATCATCAGCTGCTTAGGGACTTCTTGAGCCAAAGGAAGGATACAAGCAAAGTAACGAATTTCTTTTCCATACATTTAAATAAATCCTTTTTGACCCAATTATACTTTGCCTTTATTATATCTCGAGGCAATGAGTTTCATTATTTGTGGAAAAGTACTTCGTTTTATGTTTGAATGGCTTTCTGATTAGAGAACACTCCTTGTGTCTTCCCCTTTCTGCCCGCAACTTCAGAGACTACACTTCAGCATTCTACCATATCCCCTGTATCCTCTTCCAGGTATACTTAGTGACTCTCAGACATGTGGAAGCCATCCCATATTCTACCAGAGGCTGTTGAAATCCTGTCACCCTACCCTTTTCCTTATTTAGTTCTATTATGCCCTTTTTGATGTGTTTTAACTAAAACTGCACGTGCACATACACAGACACTATCAATTCCTTTCTTCGTGTAATGATTTCAGCCACAGAAGACCAGAAAATGACTGGGTGCTCTGACAGATTTTGGTTACGGAAGACTGAAATCTGCCAGAGGGAGCAGCCCATCCATTTACAGACTAGAACATGATCACAAGTGCCTGAAATCAATCCACGTGCCTGCTTCCCAGCTGGCACGTTGGATCCCTAGGAGCAGGAAGAAGATAGATGCTTCTATCTCAAGAACACATACAAAAAGATGCGCTGTGAAAAGACTACTTCTCAGTGAGAAAAACAGGTACTATAGTCTCATTAGGAAGGCTAATCTTTCCGGTACTCACATTAGGTAGCTAGTCTGCAACAAACTAACCTAGAGGTTTTGCACCCAAGAACTGTAGCTCTTATTGCCTCAGCAGACTAGAGGCACAACCAAGCTGCATTTTAATGACCTACTTCATTAGAAACAAAGTCTCAGTCTGAGTTTTCCGCCTCGAGGGATCAATTCTGCTCAGGAACATGACTTAGAGGGTTGTTAGAGTTAGGGTAGTATGGTTAGGTTGTAGTTGGACTTGTTGATCTATAAGGTCTTCTCTAATCTGAGCGATTCTTTCACAGAATCAACCACGCAGACTCAGGGAAGATCTTGTCTTTTTGTTGCAACAATGTTCTCTTTTCTTCTATGTTCTAACCACTCTCTTATATACACAGAATTGCAGAATCACAGAATAGCCTGGGTTGGAAGGGACCTTAAGGATCATGAATCTCCAACCCCTCTGCCAACTTCCACATTTAATGCTAAACCAGGCTGCCTAGGGCTCCATCCAAACTGGCCTTGAACACCTCCAAGGACGGGGCATCCTCAACATCTCTGGGCAGCCTGTTCCAGGACCTCACCACTCTCTGGGTAAAGAATCTCCCCCTCCTCAACTTAAAACCATTTCCCCTCATCCTACACTTATCAATCCTTTCAAAGAGTTGCTTCCCCTCCTGTAGGCTCCCTTTAGGTATTGAAAGGCTGCAGTGAGGTCGCACCGCAGCCTTCTTTTCTCCAGGCTGAACAAGCCCAGCTCCTTCAGCCTGTCCTCATAAGGAAGATGCTCCAGTCCCCCGATCATTCTAGCGGCCCTCCTCTGGACCCTCTCCAACAGCTCCCTGTCTTTTTTGTGCTGGGGGCTCCACACTTGGGCACAGTATTCCAGATGGGGCCTCACAAGAGCAGAGTAGAGGGGAACAATCACCTCCCTTCCCTGCTGGCCACCCCTCTTGGATGGACCCCAGGATACCATTTGCTTTCCAAGCCACAAGAGCACACTGTTGGCTCATATTAAATTTTTCATCTACCAGGACCCCCAGGTCCTTCTCACAAGGCTGCTTTCAAGGACCACTTCTTCCAGCCTGTACAGATGCCAGGTTGAGAAGAACCTCTGGAAGCCATCTCATCTAATTCCCCTGCCCAAAGCAATGCCAGTTTGTGTCTCATCACTCAGGGCCTTGTCCAGGTCGCTTCTGAATGGATATCCGTAATTAGGAAAAAATCTCCCAGGAAGTTAGGAGTGTCACCTTACTCTTTGTACCCACAGCCTCAGAAACAGTTTTGGGATTAACTACAGTGAGATATTTCACACTGTTGATGGATGCAGTCAGACCTCCACAAAAAAAAAAACCCAACAGCTCTGAAGATGTCTGAGCACACAGAGCCCTCAGCGCTGGTTCCATGGCTTTTTTTCCAGTCTTAGGAAGGAAAAGCATCATCCTGCCCTTCCTGTGGGAAAGGAAAAGGCTCTGTGCTTTCAGAAGGAACGCTTCACATCCTGGTGCGTTAAACAGCTGTTTACAGGAGGCGTGCATGCTTTGACACACATAAAGTAAAAAACACCATATCCTTCGGAGCTGCGACTTAATCCCCAAAGACCAAGCTTTCTCCGAGCAACAGCGTCTTCTCGAGGCCAGCACGCAGCGCCCGCAGCGCCCGCTCCCCCCTCACGCCCCCGTGACCCCGCGCCGCGCAGCTCCGCTCTCACCTCGCGGGGCGGGGCTCCGCAGCGCGGTTCCGGCGGTCGGGCTCAAGATGGCGCCCACGCGCGAGCAAAGCCCGCCCAGGAGCAGCGGGGCACGCCGGGAGGCGCCCGTCCCAAAGGCCGCGGGGGCGGCGCCGTGCGGGGCTGAAGGCTGAGAGAGGGCGGCGCGCTCAGCCGTGGGCGCCGCTTATAGTCATGAAGCGCTGCTCGCGGCATTTGTGCCAGCCGCAGCAGTTCAACTGTATGGGTCAACTTTACTACTGAAGACTGCTTTATTTCTTCTTGTTTTTTCAGACCATCCGAAACCCCTGTGGTGCTTTCAGTGTGCTCTAAGCAGTGAGCTGTGTCATTCCAATATTGGATGGTTTTGCATGATTAGGTGCGCTTTCTCAACATATACAGGAGTACACACTCCCCTTATTTGCCATGCTTCTGTGAAGCCTCACATCTCAAGCAAAACACGCTCAGAACAAAGTCATGAGAGGCTCTCGCAAGTCCCTGCTGTTGTCAAACTCTCCTGACCAAACAGGTTTCCCCACAGCAACCACCTCATTTCACACCTGAGCTGATTTCACTCCTGAGGTCTGTGACAAAGTTCCTCCCAGGCATCAAGGAGCTGCATCCCTTCCTTCTGCCCCTCCCAGGGCTGTCATGCAGCATGTTACACGTTAAATAAAAACAACTCCCCTCTACCACACCCCGTCTTAAAAGTTGGCATTCAGGAAGCACTGCAGAGATGGCAGCTCACTGTACCTCCAGAAACGTCTTGCCTCCCTCAACACATCAGCTCCACAGTGAGGAGAGCAGTGCCAGGGAACACATCGGTCTCCTCCACTTCTTCCTCGTCTCATCTTTCTCGTTCTGGCTCATCCCTACTCACGTTCGCTACATATTTGTATTTGCTGCAAGATAACATCTATGGCAATGATGCAAAGAATTTATCCTGCAACAACCTCTTTGGATAGCATTCCAATTGCTGATAAAACGAATATTTTTTATAAGTATTTATCAGCAAACACAACTGGGTTTCAGTTCATATGCTTACAGAAAATTGCTGTCAGCATTAGCACTAACAGCAAAACATTCTGAACAGCCAGCGTTCTCATCACGCTGTGATGCTGAGTTATTCCTACCCTGACCTATCACACTAACCACAACCTCAAGTATTGAATCTCCACGCAGGGTATGGATAACTTGGCATTGTTGCCCACACTGGTCCTGGTAATGCAGCAAAATTCATTTCTGCATCTATTCACATTTCCATTCAGTGCATTGTATTCACTGTGTCTTCAAGTTTGTTCTGATGGGAAAAGGGAAGAAACTGGGATGTTGTGAGATGACAGCAAGGAGAAAGGAGCAAAAAGAAAGAAGTGGTTAATAAATGTGGAAAAAATTAACTGAACTCAATAGGATACAGAAGTGAAATACTTTCATGATTTCTCTTGCTATCTACTCAGAAACCTGTAGCATGCATGAATAGCAAGAGACCACAGGCTGTGTGAACCAGGAAACTGAAGGCATAATGACATTAAGCTATTTTTTTTTTTTTATTAGTATCACCTATTTTGCAGGATTGTTCAGAGTAGGATCATGAAAACGTTTGCAAGATTAGCACTAATAAGGCAGAAGAATACCTGGTTTAAGGTGGCACATGTACTTGCTGACAGAAAGCAGCCAATCAGGAGTCTATGCAGCCATTTCCCCCATAACTGCAAATACCTGTGATCCTAACCAGGACTTACACTGGCAGAACTTCAGCTGGTGATTTGCCAGCAGTGAGTGTTGAACACGGTCCATAATAAATAGCAACTGTGATAGTGACAGCAACAACCACTCCTATCTCACAGACTGCTCACCTCCTTTATCTTCACCAGCATTATGGGAAATGTCAAAGATAATATTCTTTACAGCTGTTACCC